CAAAAAGAATTGGTGCTCAGGTCTCTCCATTTTGCATCCTCACACTGGGTAGAGTATGGGTCTTGGAATCAGGAAGACCTGAGTTCAAATTCTACCTCAGATACTTACTAGCTCTCTGACCCTAGAAAGTCGCTTACACTCTTTCAGCCTCAGTTTCCTCAACAGTAAAATGGGGATACTTATACCACCTTCTTATCTCCACAGGGTTATTATGAGGTTCAAATGGGAAAACATGTAAAGTGCTTTACAAACCTTAAAATGCTTTATCAATACCAGCTATTATTAGCTATTGTTCAAGTTGAAACCTACTGGGTTAGCAAGGAAGCCTCTTTAATATTTCAGTTCAGGGTGGGGAAGTCCTTTGTCCATCTTCCACCATCTCCACTCCCAGATATAGATTGGTTTCATCTGACCTTCATATCAGCAGTTTTGAGGTGCTCCCATCTTATTCAGAGTGCAGCCTCTGAAGATTCAAGGCAGCATAACTGCAGCTGTGTTCCATAAAACGATGGGAGCTGGAGTTTTGGGAGTAGATTTCAGTTCTTCTCCCTGAAATACTAAATGTGAAATTTTTATTTTGGCCTAGGCCTGTGATTTCATTGGTATAGGAAACTCCTGGTGAGAAAAAAACCTCTGTATCAATGTGGATCTGTAGCTCTTCGGCAGTTAACAGGCTTTTTTCTTTGTTTGTTTCACCCAAGGGTCAATTAGCCAGTATGTGTCAGAGGTGGCCCAATTTAATGTAAATATGAAATTATTTATCAACAGTACTTTCATGGTACATGTTTTTATTATGAAAATAGGCTTAATTTCCATGATTTTTTTTTATCCCAGGAGGTATTCCATATCCCTGAATGCTCTACTAGGGATGGGGAACCTGTAGCCTTGAGGCCACATGTGGCCCTCTATGTCCTCAAGTATGGCCTTATGACTGAATCCAAACTTCATAGAACAAATCCCCGAGAGCCACATGGGGCCGCAAGGCTGCGGGTTCCCCACCTCTACGTCTCAACCAACATGTGTGGCTTACATTTATGAATTTCAAGACTAACCCCAAAACATTCCATGATCAAGAGAATTTAGAAAATATTAGCCTAAAAATTAGAATAGTCTTATCTAAGAACCATTCTTAGCCACTAATTTTAAAAGACATTAGATACTAATGACATTTTGAAATCCTTTGTACTAGTAAATAGCAAAATGTAAAGTTTCATGTCAAAAAACAAAAAAAAGCTGCTTGTTCCTACTGTGATTGAGCCAGATGAAATTACATGAAGTATATATGTGCATGATGCTACTGACCTAACTAGATAAATTAGGAGAAATTTGAAACACTGGGTTTCCCCACAACCGCAGTCTTAAAACCCCCTTCTTCTTCTTCTTCTTCTTCTTCTTCTTCTTCTTCTTCTTCAAATTTGAGTCATTCTGAAAAAAAAAAAAAGATATGACTCGAGTCTTGATATAGACCAGATTTCCAAATCTGAACACTTGATTACTTTGTATGGATACCAGAGATCCAGAGTGACACCTCTAAGTAATTGGGGGCTTTTTCTCCCCTCAGAACGGGACACGATCTCTTCTTCTTTTCTAGTGTGTGGTATAGATGATTGAAGACTCTACTTTAGAACTCCCACCAAAAATCATGTATTGTTTAAAATCCTGTTGAGTAATTTGCATTCCAGCAGATGTTCCCAAATATTCTCCTGTGATTTCCTTCCCATTTCCTACCAAATTATATGCTTCGTTAGAACAATGGTTATGTGTTTCTTACCCTTGTATTTCCTCTACCTCCTTTGGTAAATGTACTTAACATAGTAGTAGGCTTTCAATAAATGTTTGGATGGATGGATAAATGGATGGTGAATGAATTTTAAGTACTGGTTGTATGCTGGCATAATTCCAATTCCTAGACTACATCTTGGGAAGAAAAGTATTAGCTTTCTTAAAAGTAGCCTTCTTTTGTAGATGACACATTCAGTGACTTAAAAAAAAAAACCAACCCAAAATTGTGTTGAAGTTTCACTCCTGGTTATTGTAAGTCTTTTAAAAAATTAATGTTGCTGGGAATAAATATTATTTATTTTCTTCTTATTACACTTGCACCATTAATATTGCTAAGTTTACTGGTATACAAGTGTACGTTTAAGAAAATTTGATACTCAAGAACTTTAAATTATAATTAAAGAATGACTATTAAAAGGATTATCCGCTTTACAAAATTGTTTGTATAAAAGCTGTTACAGCATGTGCAGAGAAGTTCCTCAGTGCACCTAAAACATGAACTAATTTTCTAAAAATTAATTTGCTATTAATTCATCCATCAGATATCTTGAGTCCTCTACTTCATCAAAGACATTGTGCTAGCTGCTATTTTCAGGAATGCATTATTACATTGAAATAAGGTAATTCAGTATCATCTAGGCAGTTTATTAAGCAGTGCATGCCAGTTGCGTACCAAACCAGGCCCAAGGCTTTTAGAAGCCAAGGATCCAGAACTTTGTTTTTTTTTTTTTTACCCAGTTAATATACAGTATTGAGGTAATGAAAAACAGGATGAAAGGGTTAAGACACATGGTTTCTTATTGGAGGATGAAATTGGGAGACAATAAGGTGAAGATGAGGGTTGGCTGGAGGGGATTGAGAGACAGTTAGGAAGCACTGAGGAGACAAGGAAAAGGGGGTTGTTTCGTAATATTCTTTAAATTGAGTGACTCTTGGTGGGGGTGGGGGGTGGGAGCAGTAATCTTGTGACTTCTCCAAACTCAAGTGACTTTGAGATTTAACTTCATAATATATGAGAGATAATTGCTGGGCCTAAAGTCAAGAAAATCTGAGTTCAAATTTGACCTCAAACATTTACTAGCTGTGTGACCCTAGGCAAATCACTTAACCTCTGTTTGCCTCAGTTTCCTCAACTGCAAAATGGAGATGATAATAGTAGCACCTACCTCTCAGGGTTATTGTGAGAATCAAATGAGATAATATTTATCTTAAGTCTCCATTTAAAGTATGTTATCTCTTCTGAGAAAGAAGTTTACTCTCTAATATGGGCATATTTCATAATAAATATATGTATAAATATATATTCCAATATAATTGGTTTCCTTTGGAATTTTAGATATTTTTTATGCTTTTAAAGACATTATTTTGAAAGAGGGTCCACAGATCTTACCAGACTTTCAGCAAGGTCTGTGACACAAAGAAGATTAATAACTCCTATAATAAAAAATGGTGATGATAGCTAGCATTTATATAGCACCTACTATGTGCCAGGCACTGTATTAAACACTTTTCAAATAATATCTCACTTGAGCCTCACAATAACCCTGAGAGGTAAGTGCTGTTATCTTAATTTTGCAGTTGAGGAAACTCTGCACAACCAAAAGTGATTTGCCCGGGGTCACACAGCTACTGTTTGAGGCCAGACTTGAACTCAGGTCTTCTTGATTCCAGGCACCATACTCTATCTGCTTTGCCAACTAGATGAAGTCATAAATTTTTTTGAAAAACTTATTAAAGGCAGGATGGTGGAGAAGAGTGTTAGTTTTGTAGATTCCTTGTTGCACTTCATCAGCAAGTTCTATTTAGGGACAAACCAGTTGTAGGCTCATGATGTGGTGGAAGGAGTACTAGCTTTGACATTAGTCCTTGGGTTGGAATCCCATCTTGGTCCAGCGCTCAGTGTGTCTCTCAGATTGCATGCAGGTGTACATCCATGTTGTCCTTGTGTAATCTTTGTTGGCAGATGAACTCATCCCACAAGAACCAGCACAAGTTTTGGCTCCCAACTTGACCATTTCTGCTTTGGGTTAAGAAAGAAATTCTCCTGTGATAAATAGTACTCTATGGTATACAAAAAACCAAATTTTATAGCGCTGTTTGATTATCTAAAAGCTGAAGAAAAGAATGTTTGGGGTAACTTCCACATACATGTGTTTTATGTGTGTCTGTGTGCCCTCAATTTTGCTGAGGCCTATTTTCTTGTCTACATCCCCAGGACTAGTTTATTATTTTGAAGCAATTACATTTACAGCATGCAGTAAGTAAAAGGAACATTGGTGAACTCTGTACCAATGCCTTCATTTTGTTACTGATGGGATGACTATAGTGTGCAAACCTTTTTCTGGTGGTATTATGTGCACTTGAGATTTTGGCAGACTATTGTGAACAGTCTAATTATATGCTTTGAATCAGCATTTTCCCATTGTTATTCAGCCCTGGGTTGGCAACAGTGCCATCCCCAAGGCCTCTGAATATCTTGTTCTCTCTTAGCATGTGCAGTTCAGTTCCACAGACAGGTATAACACGGGTAGTACAAAATTATTCTTTCCATTAATTAGCACAGTAGTTACTTAGGAATAGCCCAGAAGCGTTTTGAGTTCCCTTCCAACTCATAAGCTCTCTAATTATAAAAAATAAATATGTTAAGTGAGTTTATTCCTTCTGAAAATCTTATTTAGAGCTTATAACTTTTAATACAGATTAGAAGTATTGATTTTTTTCTGTCGTTCAGTAACCATGCTTTTGTCTTTTAGGAGCAAGGGTTTGAGCTACAGCAAAGATAGCGCAGTATGATAACAAAATGTTGGGGATTTTGTTTGGGAGCAGATGAGTAAGTGGGTTGCTGGGAGGTTTTTGTTTTATTTTGTTTTATGTTTTAGCAATGATCTTTGAGTTAGGACATTAAATTGGGGTTTAACTGTTGTAGTCTGTGGTTTGGTTCATTCCTGCATTGACCCTCTTTCTATGTCAGTTTCATCCTGTTGCTCGTGCACACTTGGTTTTTACTGAGGCTCAGTATTCATATTTGCCTTCCTTGAATACAGGCTCATCGGTTTTATACATTACATCATTTTAATGAAGTTCTTTTTCTTGAGATCATTTCACTCAGGGTTGTAGCAAAAGGAAAGTTGTTATAGGTCAAGAGTCAAATTTTAAGCAGCAACTTAGTTATCTCCTTCACTCTCTGGGACTTAATTTCTCTCCTTCTCTTCCTTCAGATAAACCGGGAAAGCTGGTGTACAATAGAGCCATGCCCAGATCCATCACTGTTGGCTTCCAAACAGAACCCAGGTAAGCAGTACCTATACATTTGATGAATTTTATTTGAATAGCTGGTCAAAGAAATAGATAACTTGATAACCAAATCTCTCTCTAAATGCAAAATATTTTATTTTGAATCTTAGTCTCCTTCTACATATCCCTACCACAAAAACGAGTGGACCTATGTAATTTGGGGGTGTTGTGTTTGCACTCATCTTTACCACTTGAGGAATTGAGGATGAGCACACATAATTACTCAGCTTGACTTGTACAGTAATATACTTCACGCATGTCTTTTATGAGTCATTAAGAGGCTATTGAAGCCCACTGTGTAATACAAATCCATAGTGTGCATAGTTTTAGTGAGGTAGGAAGGAAGGGGTTATGCAGAAAGAAAGGTAAATCCATGTAATCATTAAAAACCATGCTGACTCTATCCAACCTTGAGCTTTTTCCTGATAATTTGAAATACTGGCAACTGACCAGTGACTTAAAACAGTATATTTTAATATAAGATACAAGATGTTAGTGTACTAAGCATATGACTTATGGTTAGGAAAGCCAGCTTCTAATCTCGACTCAACCACTGACTCATTCTTTGACGTAGATCGTATCCCTCAAACTCAGTGCCCTCTATCTATGAGATGTTACTATCCTACCTCATTAGGGCGGTGTGAGGATGAAATCATGAAGGGTCACAAAATAGTGTTCTCATTATAAATGCCACATGAACTGTGATAGATTATGTTCTGGACTGAACTTAGCCCTTCTTCAGGACTCTTAAATTATTATAAGCTTCATTCATTTCTCCTGTTATGCATGATGTGTTTTAAAAATGACTGACTTCATCCTTGCCATATTCTAGGACTCTTTCTTTATTAGTGGTTTAGCCAGAGAAACTCTATTAGCAGGGCCATACTTAAGGACAAGCAAGTCAAATGATTACTTGAAATACTGCACCTCTAGAGACTTTGTAAATGTCTTCAACTTGGCAATGTTGCTATCCCAAAGGTACTTAAAAAACAAGATATGGGCAGCTAGGTGATGCTGTGGATAGAGTTCTGGTCCTAGAGTCAGGAAGACCTGAGTTCAAATCCAGCCTCAGATACATACTAGCTATGCAACCCTGATCAAATCACTTAATTTCTGTTTGCTTCAGTTTCCTCAACTATACAGTTAATGTAATAACAGCCACTACCTTGTGGGGTTGTTGTGAGGATCAAATGAGATAATATTGTAAAACACTTAGCACAAGTGCCTGGCGCATAGTAGATGCTATATAAATGCTCTTTACCTTCCCTTCCCTTCTGGGTCCCCAACCTTGAAGTTGTCTCCTCTAATCTCAAAACAGCAAGATCTGCCCTAGTACAAAGGATAAAGCACATTCCTCTCATATATTCATTTCTTAAGCAAATATTGATTAATCAGTTACTATATAAAAGACATAATTCTAGTTCTTGAGAGAGCATGCAAAAATAAATAAGACATAACACTAAAACTAGGTTTCGTGAATTATCTTAACATATGTTTAATTCGTGTATTTAAGGAAGCTGATCATCCTTCATAGGACCAAATCTTGATTATTTCATAGATTTGTCTTCCAGTTTAGCAAAATTTTAAGTGTGAATTTTTTTTTCTGGATTTCATTGTCCAGCCTTAGGCACTCTCCATTATAAATCACCATTATTTGCTTGAGTTCTATAGGTTAAAGTTTGCATCCTTCTTCAAGGACAAACACTCAGGTAGAGAATGGGTTGTTGTGACTTTTAGCTATCTGTCATCTATTATTTATACCTTCCCTTCCCTAAAACTCAAATAGAAGTGATTCCTGCTGACTGCATATTGACTTAGCACACATAATGTATTTTTATTTATTTGGCTAAACATTTCCCAATTAAATTTTAATCAAGTTCAGGCCTCATTTGGGAGTTTTGTGGGCAAAAAGTTTAACACATTTGCTCTACCGAATCTGAAAAAGACACACTTTATCATTGGTATCAAATAACTAAATGCACAGTAAATGTAAGATGTCATTATAGTTACACAGTGGTCATGCAATGGGAATTACCATTTCTGTTGTCACTATCAAGATACTATCTATGTGATCATGAAATCAATCAAAATTTCAGAGTTGAAAGGTATCTCAGTGGTGATCTTGTCAAACCAGCCCACTCCTGAGAAACAGTCATTTCTATATTTCCTTGACAAGTGGTCTTACAGAATTTGCTTAAGAATCTTTATTCCACCTTTGGACCTTTCTGATTATTAGGAAATTTTTCCCTATGTCAAACCTAAATTTGTTCTCTGACAACTTCCACCCATTGTCATTAGTTCTGCGCTTTGTGGCCACGCAGAGTAAATCTCATCTCTTTTTGCCTTTTCTCTTGATAACTCTTAGCTACTTGCAGATAGCTGTCATGACTGATCAAGAAGCAAACTTCTCTTGAGACTAAATACCCCTCATTCTCCAGTAAATCCTTATGGATGAAATAAAGGACCTTTCCTATCCTGGCTGTCTTCTTTTGGACACTATCTTTGTCAGTGTCCTTCCTAAAATGAGCCACCCAGAACTGAATACCATATATTCCAGGAGGGGCCTAACCTGCCCACAGTAAAGCAGGACAACTGCCTCCCTACCTGAAGATAGCACCACATTCCTTTTTAAATACAGCTTTCTCTGCTGCCGTGTCTCAGTGGTGACACTAGATGTGTATTGGACCACAATAACTGGAAAATTTCCAGGTTCTATGTATCAAACATGAAAGAGTGCTCATTTAAAAGAAGGGAAGATTAGTTAACTTTTCATTTTTGGAAACTTTTATCATGTGATTTTAGGGTGTGGGTGGATTTTCCTTTTGCCTTTTTCCCACCCTTTTGGTTTAGTTTGTTGCTATTGTGCTATCCCACTCATTGTGCCCCTTTTGACCCATACTTGGCTTCATGGTCCATTTCAGTGCCTACTTGGATGTATTTTCTGGGGGAGGAACTTCTGCCAGCCTTGAATCTGGAGCTTCCTTGTGAATTTTCCATTGGAACGTCACTAAGCTGGTTTCTGTTTCAGTCTGGAATTTGAACGTGGTTTGTTAGGCAGCCAACGGGATTGCAAATAGCAAGGCAGAGTTGCTGTTACAGCTTTTTCTTTTTCTTGGCCTTTCTAACCCCTCCCTACTCCTCATTTTTCCTCCACTTAAGACTGGAGGTTCAGATTTTCCAAGTGGGGAAAAAGAATGGAAAGACCACACCCACTATAATACACCCAGTACACAGTCTGGATTCTGTGAGGCATGAATGATCTGTTGAATATAATGTTTCCAGTCAGTCTTCTGCCAACAGAAGGCAAAGCTGCTCCTTTTGGGGTATCTGTCACATGCAGAAATAGCTTGCAGTCAGATGGGAACTTGGGGTTCAATTTTTTACTGAGATTTTAGCTTGAATTTGGAATATTCTCTTTTAAAATTCATTCTTCTCTTCCAATTTGCCTCTGTTCATACTTCCTTTAGCTCTTCGCAAACTCTCAGGATTTTCCAGACATCAACAGGCTTATAGCAAGCAGGTGGTTTGGGGAGGGGGAAGAGGAAGGGTAGGGCAGGGCACAGATTCTAGGCCCAAGACAGTATGCTAAAGCCCAGGGTTGATATGTAACCACTTAACTAAATTAATTTTCTGTTCCCCTCCCTGTGACATGTCATAGAAGGGGGAAAGAAAATTAATATCCCTTCTAAGGCCTTCCTCTTTAGCTGTATAGTTTTGTGTGTATCACACCCCTCTTCTAGACTGTAAGGTCCATGAAAGCAGAGACCATATCATTTTAATTCAGAAGACATTTGTTAAGCACTTCCTTTGTGCAAAGCACTGTGCTAGGTGCTTGGGATACAAGACAAAAACAGAAGTCTTTGCCTTCATGGAAACCTACATTCTGCTGGAAGGAGTACAACACATACACACAATAAAATAAATTCAAGTTATAAAAAGAGTGAGATCTTTATGGAGGAAACCATATTTTACTTAAATCTGTACCTTACCTAGCTCAGTACACTACACACAGCGAGGCTTAGTAAAAGTTTGTTGAATTGAAGTGCAAGAGGAGCTTATTTCATTATCTGGTCCTAATTCCAACACCATGTCAGCATCCCTTCAGTAACACTCTTGACAGATCAAGTTTTTGCTTGAACATCAGAAATTGTTGATCAATAAGCATTTGTAAACTACCAGTATGTGCCAGGCACTTATGTCCCCGTACTGGGTATACAAATACAAAATGAGAAAACTCTTACGTTCTGGGACCTTCCAGGAAGTGAGAGATGTAAAAGCATGAACCTACAGAGGAAGATCATGAAATGTTTTATACAAGGAATAGTTATCAGGAGCATAGATTTCATAGAGAATAATATGTAATAAGCATGAGGAAGCAGGCTAGAGCCAGATTGTGAAGGGCTTTAAAATGGCAAAGAGGACAGGTAATACATTATCCCAAGGCAGTTGGGAGCCACTGAATCTTCTTGAGCAAAGAATTGATGGCTCTGCAAGGGGTGTATTGCAATGAAGAAAGATTAAATGTGTTGTGGAGAGACCAATTAAGAGACTAATGTAGTAGTCTAGGTGAAGCAACTCATTCTATTGTTGAACAGCTCTTTCTGTTTTGGATGATAGTTCTGTCATCTGGAGCACCTCAAAATAAGATTACTCCCTCTTCTGCAATCTAGTATATGACATATTCCCAGACCCCTTGCTAACCTGGTCACTCACTTCTAGATAGTGACTCTATATTTTGCCATTTCCCCTATTTTAAAAATTGACTACTAGATCTCAGTATAATATTACAGATCTGGTCTGACTAGTGTGCAGAACACCACAGATCTATTACCTCTCTTTATTCAGTTACCATATGCCTATTAATTTAGCATTGTTGGTGTAACACCAACATTCAAACCAATCAGTATCATTCTAAATATTTTTTAACCAGCTGTCATATTAGCTTACTCTATATTTTGTCACCCAGATTGGATAGAAATGTTTCATGTAATTTTTTCTAGGCTACTGATTTAAAAACAAAGAAACAAACAATAACATGTTTAATAGTACAGAGACTACAACAGGAATCTGTGACCAGCTCCATACTTCAAGTTGACAACAATCCATTAACTCTCTTTTTGTACAATTATGCAGCCAACTCTGAAAACATTTAACCTTACTATCATTCAACCCACATTTCTCTGTCTTGTCCATAGAGTGTGAAATAGGTTGCTAAAATTCAGTTACATGTCTGTGACATTCCTTTTTCTGCCAGTCTAATAATTACCCAAAATCAAAAGCCAATAGACCATTTATCAAAATCCTTTGACCAGTCATAATGCTTGACAACCATTTTCAAGGGACAAGTAGATTTTTCCATATTTGCTTATTATTCCTTTGGCATAAGTATTATTTCTGTGTACCATAGGAAAAAATGAAATATTTGCTATGTTTTTGTTAGCTAACAAAGACTAGTAATCACATTTTAAAATTAAAATTTACTTTTAAGATTCTTCTTTATTCTTCCTTTTTAATATTTCATTTATTCAGAAAATCCTAACAAGGGACCGGTTTATAATTGTCTTTGTAAATCTTAAAGTGCTATATAAGTGTGAATTACCATTACAAATTAGTTCATAACTAATTGCTAAATTCTGTAATAATGCCGTTTTTATCCTTGGTTGCAAGGAGATTACTCTGTTCCAGAGGAGGAAGGCACTGATGTGTAGGCAGTTTTTCAAAAGTTGAACAGGTATTCTAAGTCATATCTGTCCGTTTTGCATATAAACAAAAAGTTTTCTGCAGCCTCTTAAATGTCCTAGAGTGACTCTAGTGGTGTAAACAGGTGTAAATTAACACCAACAGCTGTAATTCCTGTCCAGATGGCTAGAATTGAGATTATAAAATGGAAAGCTTCAACTCTGCCTCATATTTCCTTTATAGCCTTCTGAATGTCTTAACATGTGCAGGCAGACTACTGGAATGCAGTCTTATTTTTACCATTCAAAAAAAAAACCGTGTTGAATAAATTATCCATAATATTTATTTATTTTGCAGAATGTGAGAACTTCTTGGAAGTTGGAATGGGTGGCAAGTGTGCCTCATCCCAGGGTGTACTTAAAAGACAATCTGGCAGTGATTCTGACCTCTTCCCCTCACCCAGTGATGAAATGGATGACAGCATTATCTTTACAAAGGTATATTTGGGTTCCTTCCCTTCGTGACGATTGCTCACGTTTTGGTAACTATGGCTCAGTGCTGCCGGCTGTAACTAGTCTTCTTTTGCCTCTTTCTCCAAACTTGAATGTAAGAACTCCCCTTAAAAGGAAAAAAACTAAAGCTCAAATAGCTTACCAAATGGCATTGCTCCCTTCTGTTGTGCATAAAATCATGGCTACTCACTTTCAGGTTTTGAAACATGCATTGAACCTTAAGCAGATGGAAGTTCCTTTTGCTTAAATCATGTCAGATGACAATGAGTTCTTTCCAGTGGGTAAGAAGAGACCACAGCCTAGACTAAATGATGTCATGTACTATAAATTGGTCCTAGTGTCATTTCTGATGAATGTGGTTGGACCCAGAGCTCCCTCCTGGCCTTAGTGATATCATCCCTCTTCACCCAGCTTGCTTAATGGGAACCTTCAGAATCACTGCTGGGGAACTTTGCCTGTCTGCTATCGCAGAGGCAGAAGATAGTGCTATCCCTGCAGAGGCCATGTGCAGTATTAACAGGAATCATGAAACCAGTGTTTACATGTAATTTGAGGCTTCAGCTAATGAAAGGGGTGGTTTGCTTGCGTTGCCTGAATCTAGCTGAAAAGAGTTCTATGTTGTTTCATTGGGAGAGAACTTATGCGAAGGCTTTCCCACACTGAGCATAGCAACCCTAGCCATGGGAAGAAAAAGGCAATAGTTTTTGGTTTTGTGCCAAGATTGTGTGTCTCTGTGTCTGCGTCTGTGTGTGTGTGTGTGTGTGTGTGTGTGTGTGTGTGTGTGTCTGTGTGTGTAAAAGAAGAAAATAAAATTGACTCCTCTGTGTATAATATATATGAAATAATGCCTCCCTCTTTTATGATGCCTAATGTAACTGCTTGGTAAGGGCTATTAAGTTAATCCTTATTCTAGGCAATGTGTCAAGATGACTGTGGAGTAAGGAAGGCTTTAACAAGTTCCGTAGGTCCTGCTCCAGAATTTATTTGGACCTTTGGGGAATTTACTCTCCCTTTCAATCTATTCTGCTCCTGGTTTTGTTCAGCTTCCACATTTACAGCCTCTTTCCTCTATCCCACTCCCCACTTTGTTCCTTTGATTCAGCCCAATATTTCCAAAGAGTTCTGGAGAAGATTTAAAGTGGAAACTTCAGGATTACTATTAATATTTTCTGGAATGACTTGTCCCAAGGATAGACTTTCGTCTTATGAAACAAAAATCTTTATGTCAGAAAATTTTTCCTCCCTTGATTTTGAGGAGAGGAAAACTAACAAAATCCAAATGCTTGGTGTTTTTCTAATATACCTTTAAGTTTCTAAATACTGGGACTTTGAAAGGTCTGTAATAATTCCCATAAGAGGTCTCATTCCTAAGGGGAATGCCTTTCTGAGTGATATATACATCTTTGAAATGATACTGATTTAAAAAAAAGAAGGAAAGAAATGATACTGATTTTGATTGTTTTTTATTGTTTTTTTATGAATTTGTAGCTACCCTCATCCTGTATCCAATTCATGGCACCAAAATCTCATAACTCATTTAATAGTGCTTTCTTTATAGCAACCTGGTGAAATAGGTAAAACAAGTGTTACTTTATACTCAGAAACTGAAGCTTAAAGTGACTTGCTTATGGTCATGTAGCGAACAAGTGATGTAGTTGAGACTTGTACTGTAGTCCTCTGACTTTAACATCAGTACCCTTTCCACTACAGAAGTCTGCTTTTTAAAATTGTCTCTTTGTTCCTGCATAGTCCCAAATCTCTGCAGATTGACAGTAAAGTCTGGTTGTTGGGTTGTATATTTGGTCTGGATGAAGATACATGTGAGATTTTCATTAACCTTTGTGTCAGCTGCCAAAGTTATATGATGTTTGCTGGTATTGGCAAGCTTATTGAGATCAATGGTGCAGTTTTAAAAATGTGAAAATAAGTGAACTTTCTACATAGGTTGAATCAAATGATACAGGAAAAATTTAAAACTTTGTGGAACTTCTTCGCCTTTTTGGCATTATATTCCAAATGATCTGAAGAAATACAAAATGAGCCATCCCTTTGTATTTTTCCACAAGTCATCCCAAAATTGGATAGGCTGAGAATCATAAAGGAAGCATTCTCATGATAGGTCTTTATCTAGCATTCAGATTTTAAGTTTACATAGGAATGGAAGTGTCCTCTGCTTCTGGCTTCTGGTTTGTCTTTAGTCTTCATAACTCTTGTTTTAACCTGAATGATTTGTAAAAGCACTGTACTAGTACACACATTACCAGCTACTTTTTTCAGAGGCCTCTTCAGAGATGAAATCATTTTAAATTTGTTTAAACAAGGAGCACTAAGATTCTGGCAGGACTTATTCCCATGATCCAGTCATCTTCCTTCTTGCCTGAAGAACAGTCTCTAGACTAGGCATTGCAACATCCTCTTCTGTGACTATGAAAGGCACATTAGGTCACTTCCTACAGACATTTGTATGAGTCTGACCCTAAAGGTTGGGGTGAGGGTGTTATTTGTTTAGTTTTTTGTTTTTGTTTTACAATAATCTCTAATGTATGCCAGGTTTTTTCACTTTAGCCATTTATTCTCATTCAGCCTGACTGGCAAACACAAATCTTTAGCATTAAAGTCTTTTTCTTTTTTACTTAGGTTAGCAAGATAGTTAACTTTTCACAGAATTATTCCATCATATATTTAAAGCTTGAAAAGGGTATTCAGAAATCATCTAGTCCAAAATCCTTCATTTTATGGATGAGGTTTTGAGAGTTAAGTGATGTGCCCAAAATCATGCAGATTATAGCAGAGCTAGGACCCAGGTCCACTCTCTCCAAATCCAGTATTCTTCATTGTGGTGTTGGAAGTTCTTTAGAGAATACCTAGTCTAAACCATATTGGAAAAAAGACTTAATAGAATCTGCTCTGTGGTCACACCGAAAGCAGAGGCTGGATAACAAGTAGAAACATGTCTTTTGCTTGAAGACCCATAGAGAGAACAAGGGTATTATATTCTGAAACAGCTCATTCTGCTTTTTGATAGCTCTAATTAAATGTTTTTCCTTGCTTCAAGCTTCTTTTTGTTTCTTTGCATCTTCTACTCCTACCCTTTAGGGCCAAAGAGAATAACTCTAATCCCTAAGGCCCTTTACTGTTCTAGATTGACTTCCTTTTGATGCTTGCCAGTTTATCAGTGCCCTTAATAAAATGTCATGCCTTGAAGTTATTCTCCCAGTAGTCTGGGTATGCTATGTTAGGGGCAGTTAGGTGGGGCACAGTGGATAGAATACCAGGCCCGAAGTCAGGAAGACCTGAAGGTTCAGATCTACATTCAGATACTTATTAACTGTGTGATCCTGGGCAAGTCACTTACTCTGTTTGCCTCAGTTTTCTCATCTTTAAAACAAGGGTAACAATAGTACTTCTCAGGGTGATTGTGAGGATCAAATGAGATAATAATTATAAAATTCTTAGCACAGTGCCTGGCACATAGCAAATGCTATATAAATGTTTATTATTATTATTATCATCATTATCTTTATCTTTATTGTCATTATTATTATTATTACCACAAGGCTAATATATGACAGGACTGTCATATCCTTATTTTGTGACCCAGAGCTTCTCTTAATGTAGCCTGAAATGACATCGACTTTTTCGATAGCCATATTATTATTTAACTCACAGCCCACTAAAATCCCTAGGTATTTTTTCAAATGAACTGCTGTATAGGCTTGACTCTCTCTACTTATGAAGCTGACTGTTTGGAACCCAAGTATAAAACTCTACATTTATCACTACTAAGTTTAAATCTTCTAGATTTTGCACAACATTCTAACTTGTCAGGATTTTTTTATATGCTAATGCTATATCCAGTGTGGCTAATCATTCTTCCTAGCTTTATGCATCTGCAAGTTCATTAAACATATTATGGATGAATTTTTCCAAAGCATTGATTAAAACTGATTAAAACAAAGTTAGACACACTATTAAAAATTCCTACAAAGTTGATATGTAACTATTAATGACTACCCTTGGATCTAACCATTTTCTAGTTCTAAATCTGCCTAACTGTATGTCATCGATTCATATCTAGCTATCTTGTCCACATTAATAGCTTGGAGATCTTTGTCAGAGTCTAAAACTTAAGTATATTAGGGTCAACATGTCTTTGTTTATGGTAGAAAGAACATTGGATTTCAGGTCTGAAAGTTCAAGTCAAATTCCAGATCCATCCCTTACAACTTGGGAGCCTTGGCAAGTCTTTTAACCTCTTAGGTCTTCATCTATTAGATGAAAGTATTGGGCTCTAGATGACTTTACAAGGTCCCTTCCAATTCTGAATCTCTGTTCCTATATCAATAGCATTTCCATGATCTAATGTTTGCTTAGATTTATGGAAGAATTCTAGAATTTATCATGATTACCAGGCTCCCAGGCCTACAATTTACACATTCCACAGTCTTTCCCTTTTTTGAAAGTCAGGATATTTGTCTTTCTCTATTCCTCTGACAACTCTTCATTCTACCTGACCTTTTGAAGCTCACTGATAGTAATTCAGCAATTATATCCACCAGTTCTTTCTAGATATCTGGGTTTGATTACGTGAACTCTTAAAGGAAGTGAAGGTCTTTCTTACTATCACTCTAATTATCTTTCATATTTACTCCATATTAACCATTTTTATATATCCTATGCAGTCCAAAGGTCATGGTTCTTGACAGAGAAAACAAGAGTTGAATAGTTGTACACTCCTATTACATTTTCATTATTCCTTCTACCCTTAGCAGTAGTTCTTTTCTTTCTTGAATCTCTCTCTTCCTCTCCCTCTTCCTTCTCTCTTTTCCTCACAGGATCATCTTGTTCTTAGTTTTAGTACTTTTAACACTGTTCTCTTAGGACGAGGCCTACATTTGTATTCATTCTTTTACTTGTCTTTTTTTCCCATTTTCTATATAGCCACACCATTAGACAATACTACTTTTCCTCTTCTTTGAACTTGT